ACACATCGCACAGTATTAACACCACGCTCCCTGTGATCAAAAAATAAAAATCAACTGTTTTACTTTTTCCATGTGCGCATAAACTTCAGGCCTGTCCGCTCTCAGCTCGCCCCCCTCCTCCTCCTCCTCCTCCCCCTCCTCCTCCTCCCCTCAGCCCCCTCCTTCTCCTCCTCCTCCCCTCCTGCCTGCCCTCGCTGTTCCTCGCTTGTCTGTTTCCTTGAAGCGGGTTCAGAGAAGTGTTGAGGGGGCGGATAGTTTTGATTTTCTCTACATCGTGCTTAGCCAATAATGTAGAGGGAACTGTTGTGCACATCTCAGCTGGCAGACATTTAAAAGGGAGACAGTCCGGCGCTGGAGCAATTTGTATTAAACCCCCCTGGCCCCTGTCTATGGAGCGGTTAGTCTCCCACCCATCCACAGTCCCACCAGTGTACAGTCGACTGCAGTAGGTGCCTATCACCTCGGAAGGTGCCTTTAGAGGACTGACAGGATCAGATCATTGCGCTTGTTGCAGCGGAGGCTCGAACAGGTGAGTGGATTTCGGATTGTAACATCCACGCTGCTCTCTTTTTAAACTTTATTTAGGTTTATTGATTATGGAAATTACAAGACCGTCTGCTTATTATCCACTGGTGTACATGTGTGGATGGTTTATTAAACATATGAGGGAGCTTTTGCTTTGGCTAAATATAGTAGCACTCTTTTGCGTAATGTACAACGTGTATGTGAGCATACATGTAATTGTATATTTATATTTCTTACTCAGATATTTAGACTGAGGTAATTGAGCTATTTGGTGGTTTTGGTTTTGCACTTCAGCTTCGTTTTGCATGTGGTTTAAAAAAAAAAGAAAGGGAGAAAGAAAAGAGCTCTCTGTGCGTTTTTACGCAGCGTAAAAGCTTTGACAGCTGTGCGTAACCCGTCCAGAGTTGAAACGGTGTAGGTGATGAATTATTTTCTTCTTCTCCCTAAGGATGGCCAACTCGACGCGTATCTTTTGCAGTATGGTTTTCATCATTGGGTTGCTATCCTCTCCCGTGGATTCAAAAAGAAATCGAGGTTCACAAGGCGCCATTCCTCATCCTGACAAAAGCAACCCAAACGAATCGGAGCAGCAACCGCAGCCTCCGCAGGCGGGCTCCGGGTCCCGACAGAGGCAGGGCTCATCCTCACCGGCCGACGAGGTGCTGGAGTCCAGCCAGGAAGCTTTACATGTGACGGAGCGCCAGTATTTGAAACGGGACTGGTGCAAGACGCAGCCGCTCAAACAGACCATCCACGAGGAGGGCTGCGTCAGCCGCACCATCATCAACCGCTTCTGCTACGGACAGTGCAACTCCTTCTACATCCCCAGGCACATCCGCAGGGAGGAAGGTGCCTTCCAGTCCTGTTCGTTTTGCAAGCCGAAGCGTTTTACCACCATGACCTTTACTTTGAACTGTCCGGACCAGCAGCCGCCCACCAAGAAGAAACGCATCCAGCGCGTCAAACAGTGCCGCTGTATATCCATAGACCTGGACTGAAAACACACAGAAATGTGTTGTGTGTGTGCTTTTCATACTCCTACTCTTCGCGGGCAGGACTGTTGGTCTGAAAACAAAAAGAGAGGCTGTCACACAGCCGAGAGCACGTGCCTGTCTCCATCTGGGGATATGCTCCACATATACGATGACTTTAAGGCTGCCTTCGTGTACTATGATTCTCTTCTTGCACAACGTGTGAAAAAATATGGACATGCAACTCATAAACCCATGTTGAACTGCAATGAACATTTTACTCCTCACCAGTTTGCCAAGTTTGAAAACAAGCATCACTGCACGGGAACGCTGACTTGGAATGGGCACGTTTTACGCACGGCTTCCTTCACCCCAATGGGACTGCATAACCCCGGTTTATTTAACAAGTCACTGTTCCAAACCTTCATTGTGACAGGAACGCGTTCCGGTCCAATTTTGTATTTTTTTTCAGTGTTTATATATATATGTTTGTCAAACTGGATGTTTCCACTGTGTGGAATGTAATGGATGAGTGGCGATATTTGTAAATGGAAAATGTGATTTTAGTTCGATATTCCAAGAATCCTTGGGTTAGCCTGACTGATTTCTGTGAATTTCGAAGTCCATCAGTAAAGATTTCTTTTTTTATTTGTAAGTTGGATGCCTACTCAAATGTAGAGACAGTAGGCTTCTTTGTTAGTTAAAACGGACAATGTACAGTGATGGTTTATACACTATAGAGATTAAATAGTTGTAAAATGTAAAGCCATCGTTGATGTAACCGGTTTGTTTATTCCTTTGATTAAATTATCCATGGAAACATAAAATAAAGGGATGCTGGAATACTGTGCATATTATTTAAAACTTTACAGCTGTTAAAGAAAATGGGAACTTCTCCCTGATCCCCTGCTGCGTGGAGCCAGCATCTTTCTTTCTTTCACACTCACAACTTGGAGTAAATTTCATCGTAAAAATAATCGTTTTGTTTATGAGAAAAGATGTAGTTACAAGCTCCAATTATCCACTGAAATCATATCATTTAACGTCATCAGAGTGTATTTTTATCGGAGAGCTGGAAAAGGGGGGAATACGCAGTTTCAAGTGCAAATGATGAAGGATTTTCTGCCTAAACCTGAGCAATCCAACGTTTAAAAAATGGGTATCAAATGTTGGATTTTTTTTTAACAAAAAAAAAGAAGGCATTAGGTTAATCTTCAGCCATCCATACTGAGTATTACTCTTATAACATACTGTATGTTCTAAACCACACTCTGTGTGATTATTTTGGCGTTTGAATGGCATTGAATTTGGCAAAAGAGCAAATAGGCTAAAACATTGTAATATTGTCCATCTCATTTAATTTAACATTTCTAAAATCTTCTCTTAAAATAAACCTCTAATGGCATAACAAATTCCTTATGTTAACAAAGCTAATGACTTTGTTTCAAGAGTTTTCCAGGAACAAGTTCTAATGTCTAGAAATGAGGATTGATTGAGTGATTTAATTGTGAGTCAGTTTATTGAACAGCCTGGCTGACTTTTGAATCATTAAATCCTCTTTGGTGACTCAGGTTTCCTCCATAAATATCACATTTTCTTGGTGCAGGCCTAATGGAAGCGTTGACAGCAGGACATTTAAGAGAAATTGGTTTAACACATCATGTGTGCCTGAGCAAGTCCTTCCTCCAAAATGAGTCCGCTTTGTTCGGCATCCAGTTGTTTATTCTTGAAATTTAAAACAATTCCATAAAATTACAGAGCACCTATATGAGAGCTACTGAAGGTTGCACGAACCGACATACATACAGTAGAGGCTACAACAATTCCTTGGTCAGTATCAGCTTTTTTTTTTTGTTGGTTTTTTTGTTTTTCAAATCCTCTGAAGTAGAACGTAGCAGTTTAAAGTTATGAAATATCTTGGATTTTATACAAAATAAATGGCACACATGAAAGACTTTGGAGGGTAAAAAAAAAAGGAATTTAAGGTGCAGTTTGATGGATACTCTGATAATGGAAGTTTGTCTGAGGTATAGTAACTCGCATGGCTTCAGGTGATATGCTTAAATATATTACCCTCATCTCTCCAACATACATGGGCACAACATACAAATAATATCCACGTGAAAATATATCTTTCATCTAACCGACGCATCAGGCAGCTTCTCAGTCAACTCTATTACAACTCATAAAAATACAGCCTCAAAAAGGGAAAAAAGCCGATGTTCTTTTGGCATAAAATAAACCTCTTCTTACATAAATATACTTTTCTTGAATGATACAGGAGTGTGGGTACAGCTTACAATTGTGAAAATAAAACATTGAGCAATAAACTTCTGCATTCTTAAAAATGAGAAAAAAAAAAAAAAAAAAACCTTAATAGGATTTCATCATGAAGCAATACAACTCATCAATCTTTTTTTTCTTTTTCTTTTTTTTTTTTTTTTTTAACAAGGAAGCCATACCCTTGCATAGGAAAAGAGGTGCAAAAAAGTGCAAGACATCTGAATAAAATGCACACACTTAGCATAACATAGGAGTGTGGCTGATAGCTACTACAGCTACTGCAAGCAGGAAAGTGCTTCAACCTGTGCTGGACACACTGTGACGTGCAGCACTCAGTGAGGGAGATGAACAACTCTGCATTAAGTACATTTTAGTTCTCAGGTGAGTGGGTGCATGGCCAAAACCTTTCGTGTTCGTCTAATGTTTTTAAGTAAGTGTGTGTGTGTGTGTGTGGGTGTGTGTGTGGGTGGGGGTGTGTGTGTATGTGTGTGTGATGGGTCCGAGGCTTGGGGCCAGACTCGCTGCCAGGCCTTGCTCTTCTCTGGCCGTCACCCAGGGGAGGTCAGGCTGGCGAAGGGAAAAACACACACAATACAGTGAAATCTCCGCGTTTATACACAACACGTCTTCATCTGCACTCGAAGCTCAGCGCGGATCATTCATCATACTCCGCGAAGCTGCACGGTCCCTGCCGATTCTACGACATGACATATTTACAAGACTTTTAATGAGCCATGGTGAATGAACAGCTCTTCGCTACAGCAGAGGACACTGGGAGCTGCTTCCTTACTGCTGTTTTGTCAACAGGGATTTTCCTCCGAGCAGAAATTGCCGGGAACAGCGACAACATCTTCACACCTTTGAATACGTTGGAGCACTTTAAATACGTCCGCTGTGCCAGACAACATCTACAAGAATAGATTCTCAGCTCTTGTAGATCCAGAAGGAATCTCATGGATTTGTCAGCTGGCACTGTTGGGAATTCCGCTGACCCGTAGAGACCTTTCACAAGCCGGGCACTCAGAGGTCACGCCACGCTGGATGAACGAGGTCAACCTTTAGCCTTTAAGACTCTCATCACTTCGGCTGTGTCAGCCATGCAGCCTCGGCACAGGAGCTTTTTTCCAAAAAGGCTGGACATGAGGGCGGGTGGGTGGAGATGGGTGGGTGTCCAGTGCTGTTAGTAGCGCAGAGGTATGGCAGTGGGAGTAGTAAGAGTCCGGCCAGGTTTTACTGTGAGTTCGTACGGGGCACGGAGGGCAGTCCAGTGTTGTGGAGGCAGGTGGTTTGACGACGGAGCGTTAAGGCCTGCGCACTTTCTTACCTCCGCCTCTCATCGTTTCTTCTTCTGCTTTGTCCCTTGTCATTTCAGCTGGAGGACACGCTGGATTCCTTCTGCCGCAGCCTTTCTTTCTGTTGGCACAAAAATGAAGTGTACTGATTTCGGCGCTGACACAAGAAAAAAACAGCAGCTTTCAGGAAACTCAGTTCTTACCAGACTATTGGCATTGATCTTCTTGGTTTCAACTCTCTTCTCTGCTGTGATCTTCTTGATGTTTTCTTGAGCTTCCTTCAACCTATGGGGGAAAAAAATGTGACATTTGCAGGCTCTTTAAAACTAGAAGTACACGCTGAAAGCTCTGGTGTAAATTGTGAAAACAATTTAAAGTCCGTAGCCTCTCATCACTGTATCCTTGTGAAGTTGTTTGTAAGAGCATGACATTTACGTATATCCCTAGGGCACCCGGTCATGGACACACAAACAGACACACACACGCACACACACACACACACAGATCCTCTCAGGAGTTTGCGGTCAGTGAAAGCCCCATAAGTGGGAAGCAGTAGAGAATGACAGTGGGTTGATGAGATAATGAGGCAGCCTTTAAAAAACACTTGGCTTTTATGAGTGCACAAACAGTATTTAAAATAAAGTTAATTGTACATAAGCACAGTCAGCTGTGAGTAATGTGGGACACGATTACCTAGTAAACAATTAAGAGAGAGCACATGGATCCGTGGCAGGACGGGGAGAACATTAACTCCTGACACGGAGGCTCAGTTCAAGTGTGAGCGCAGATTCGCGATACGACAACTTCAGAGTACTTAACACATAACAACAAAATGACCACGAAGCTCGGCTGGACATCATCGCCGGCTTCTTTCACTGCCTCAGTCTCATGCAGGCTCTGCATGTGCAGCTCTCCTGCCCTTTGGGCTGCAACGTCCAGCATCATGACAGTGTTTATCAGTTTTCCCATAACGCGCAGCCTTTAAATGACCACAGGCTCCCGTCCACTTGCTAGTAAAGCCAGGGAGGCGCGCAGAGGGTCTGCCGTCCCTCAGTGGAATGCCCCCCCGCCCCGCCCTCCCACTCACTGCAGGTCAGAGGAAAACATCATAAATTCAGGCTACTCTCGCTTGCCTCCTCTTTGATGCCCCCCCCTCCTTTACTCTAATTACACCCCAGCATCTGAGCATCACCCTCGCGCAATTACCGCTAATTTGACCTGATGTCCAGAGGTGTTAACCATCCATCCAAAGGCGACATGAGACGAGAAGTCTAACGCGAGGATGAGATGGTAAAGCCTTACTTTATTAGCAAAGTTAGTGTTTTGCAGCGGTGAATCCACGGACTGGGAAAAAGTACCTCACACGAATCTTTCTGCCAGACATTGAGGGTACAGAACTTACAATTTTCATGTAATCAAACACAGTTTCCGTATTATCTGTAGATAGCACGTTTTCAGCGAATAGACACTCGATGTGTTTACGTTATGTAATTACCTCTCCGTACATTATTTTACGGTGCCACCCTGGATTCCAACCACCCTCACATGAAACAATACATGTATGTAATGCAGCCTTGTTTTTAATTTCATCTCTGATGTCAGCCTCACTGTTTTCTGTTCACTCTCCTGATGATGAATGAAGTTACTGCTAATGCAAAAGAGCACTTCCTACAACTGCTGCTTCACATTAAAAGCCTTTAACTGGTAAAGAATGGGAGGGGGGGGCTTTTATTATTGACAGACTTCTTTGTTACACAACTTCTCCTTTGGCATATGTCTGCACTGTAAACAGATACACCGGCTTTTGTTTAGCAGGTAACTGCAATGTTCAACCACACTCGCTGTTACCACTGTAATGACGGACGTCATCCAATCAAACGAAACCAGCTTCTAACATGTCAGGCTTTTACCGAAGATACCAGTCGGGTTTTCATGACCCTCGCCGGACAGAGTAAGAGAAAAACGGACCAATCTCACCAGAATCCACCTCACCTCTCCTTGGAGATGTTCTTGTTTTGTCGTATCCAGGTGTTCTTGAAGTCATTGCAAAACTCGTACCAGAGCATAAAGACGTGACTCGGGGCCACTTCTTTCTCCCCGGCCTTTGGCTTAGAACCAAAGTAGCTCACCATGTCCTGGAAACTGTAGGGGAAAAAAAGAAACAATGCATAAATAGTGCTGTCTTATCACATATTATAAAAATGATATCAGAGATACTGTAAGTTAACAGTGTGTTTCAGTGGACTACTCTAGATTGAAAAGCTGTAAACAAGAAACACAGACAAAATACAGGCACAGCACACACACACACACACACACACACACACACACACACACACACACACACACACACACACACACACACACACACAACCACACACACACACACACACACACACACAATGATGGATGGATGGAGAGTGAGACCAAGAGGCCAGAAACAGAGCTGGAAGCAGAGTGTCCACCCTGCTGGGCGACGGGGGAGAGCCAGTAGCGGCGGCTCCATTATCACATTGACCTCCACAGCCTGCAGGGGGAAGACTGCCAGAGGAGACGGAGACAAGCCAAGACCAGGCTGCTTGCTCCTCCAGACACAGCAACACGCACACACACACACACAGACACACACATATACACACACCACCACTGTGAACTCACACCTAAAGCTCCAGGAACGTATTTACTGGCAGACAATCAAAGATATGAATATGATAAGATATATGCACATGTGAACTCACTCAGACAGCTGTGCACACAATCAAAAAAAAAAAAAAAAAAAAAAAAAAAAAAAACATAGTGAAACATCAGCTCTGTGTGAATAAACAGATTCTGGATTTTCTGTTTTCTGTTCACTGGGCCAGATTGCTGCACTGTTGTAGGCCTAATTCAATTGTAACCAAATCTGAACTCTTTGCGAGGCTCTCAGCAGCACACACAAGGCATGAAAAGCAGCCTGCTGCTTCAGATTCCCTCCCTAACCTAAACATGAAAGACATTTTCTAGCCGTGCCTGTCAAAGGGTTGATAAAAGGGGGCTATGATTCAAGGGATGCTCCCTGTCCCATTGACACCCAGATAGGCTCTGACCTCCAGATGCTAGGTGGCTTTTTGCGACGCTAATCTAAGACATGCTGATGTTGTGTGAAATGGTGCAATATGCTGCCCAGACGGCCTGCTAAAAGCTGGGGGGAGAGAGAGAGAAAAAAAAAAAGGGATTCTGCTTCCCATTTCCCAAGGATGCGTCATTTCGCTGGGATGCTCAAAAAAAGAAAAAAGAAAAGGAGAGCGCTGTAGATCATCCTGTACACTACAGAAGAAATCAGAGGCTTAGATTGACCAAACAGACGAGCCGTCGCAGGTAGCTTTGTTGCAGCCGGCCTTGTCTGGCATGATGAACAGGATCTCTTCTCCATCAGCTCCTCTCCTGACCCTGGGTCATCATGTCAAAGCATGCACAAATCAAGCAACAAGCTTTTCCTTTTAGCCTCCTGAGCATATGCAACAAGCAGATACACAACGCTTCACTCAAAACAGATGCAAACACACTCACACATGCAAGTTTACCTAGAAAACATAAACAAAATCAAGCGGAACCGAGTTCATTTGCGAGCGCAGAACAATTACACTCGTGCACACATGCACAAACACAAACCCCCCTACACTTCTGTAATCCACGCTATGATGCCATTGCCGTGAGAGGGTTTACTGCGGCACCCACAGCCAGCATTCCTCACTGACAGCTATAAAAAAAGACCCATTACAAAACCATGAGCAGCCGTGAGAATCAGGGAAATATTTGGACAAGCAACTCTGCATTCCTTTGTTTCCCCAGTAAAAAGATTACAGAAGTAAACTGCATGTTGTCGGCTGAGTCCGCGGAGGCACCAAGCCCTTTTGTGCCATTGCTGTCATTTAATGCCAGAGAAGAATGATATACCAGCTAGCATCTATGAAACCATAACTGCACGGTGACTGTAGTGGAGGCAGCTGGGCCAAATGAAATTGAGCATGATGTGGGAGAAGAGAACTTAATGAGACGGAACTGAGGACAGAACCAGAAAACCTCAGTGGAACCCGAACATGAAGCAGACAAATTAGGACTGCATGTTGAGGAAAAGGCTTGGGTGCTTGTCATGCCCAGAGCCCCAGATAATGTTTTACAAAAAGGGAAAAAACAGAAATGAACTTGATGGAGTTTTCTCTCTCATTAAAATGATGCTGGCGTTTTACAGTTAATCTCAGTAAAAATGTCAGTTTTCAGTTGTCCAAATGAACAATCGAGGGCAAACCATGGTTAAAAATGAGCTTTTCAAGTTGTTGTTTTCCATGTGTGAAACGTCCCTCTTGTCATGCATAAGGTCACTGCACTAAGAGCAATTGAAATATTTTATAAGTGATTTTACACACATTTGACATATACATTTGATATGTATCAATACTGGAATAAGGGGTCTAGAGCATAGACTGTATATAAAGATGGACATAGCCTCCATGACGTCACTCAGGTTTCCGAGGAGCGATTTTGAAGCTCAGAGTGGGCTGCCCTGCCGTCGCTATCTTGGCAGTGCCTGATTCCGCCCCTTTTTCCCGGCTAATCCAAAAATGTGGGGCAGATGTGGAGCCCAGACTTCGGTGCATGCCAGTTTGTGGTAAGCATGCGCTCAAACAACCTGTCGCTCAAAGCAGCGTACTTTTTTAAAATAAGACAAGCAGCGACACAACTTTGCCTGAATAAAGTAAGTCTTAAAATGGCAAAACTCCAGTTTATATCAGCAACTTTCTGAGTCCAGTCCATTTTATTAATGTAGCCCAAATTCACTAACTTCAATAAGGAGTTACTTTCAACTTTTGGTACTTGATGGTAGAGCTCACGAACACACACACACACACACACACACACACACACACACACACACACACACACACACACACACACACACACACACACACACACGCTTTATCATCACCCAATGATGATCACCCTTCACACAATTTATCAATAAGTTGGTCGACAGAAAATTTGTTTGCAACTATTTTGTTAATTGATGATTCACTTAATCATTTTTCCAAGTTAAATTCTTCTTGTGTGAAACTGTCATTGACATTTGTCACTATTTTATCAAATTTTTTACGATTAACTGAGAAAATAATCAGCAGATTCATCAATGGAATAGTTGCAGCCCTGTCAGTTGTCAATACTCTGTGCTATCGAAACATTTTAGAAACCAAAAAGTGCTGAGGTTGAATACCCAGCTGTTATTCTTGTCCATATCCTGATATTGATTCATACTCACCCTGCCCCACTAACTGCTGGTTAACTTCGACTCACAGGCGTCTAAACTCATTGACTCTTCATGAGGCCGAGGTCTTAGGTAGCACGCGGGATGTGCCGTCTATTTCCTTTATTAACACACAGCTATAATGCTGTTGCCACTGCTGCTGCTGTTGTGTGTTTGTATGAGGATCCCTCATCCAGCGCAGATGTGAGAGCCCACCCAGGGCCCGGTGAGCCCGCTGACGCCCATATTCATCAACGGCGTGTCACTTTTATGAGGTGGCTCTGTGGGAACCTGAGAAAGAACCCCCCACCCTTCTTTCCTCCTGCTCTACCTAGCGCCAGTCAGCCAGCCCCTGTCTTTAGATGAAATTAAAGGAAAACTTCATTAAAAGGCAAAGGTGCTGTCAGCTGCGGGGCCCTTTTGATCAATATCCCCCTCCAAGTTCAACGCCTTCATTACAGTGGTGTCACTCACACTCACACATACACACACACACACACACACACACACCCGTCCAGTGGGATAGGTGAGGGCGGGGGTGACGGACCAGGACAGAGAGTGCGAGGTGCAGCCGCCCCGCAGCGACCCTCTTGGCTTAAAAACAGCAACATGAAACAGAAACAGTTTGGAACCATCTCGCTGAGTTATAGTGTTGTCCAAAGCAATGAACTTCCTAATTGTTTATAGTTTCCATTTTCTTGCGACCGGCGTCTTTCACTTTCTCCTTTACGTGCGTTCGTGATTTATTTTGGAAGTGGCAGAGTTACGGTATAAAGCAAACAATCCTGCTCTCTATCCAAACAAGGCAAAAATAATCTATTTGCTTTGTTTGTCTGCACCACCATCTTTTTCCAATATGAAATGTTCCAGATATGATTTCCCTCGGACAGCGAGCTCAGCGGCTGCCAGTGTGTCTTATGCCTATAAATCAGATACCTCTCAGAAAACTCTCGGGAGTCTCCTGCACAAAACATGGCAGATAAGAATGATAGGAACTGCAGGGGAGGAAGCACAGGGTGTTCAGGCTTAAAATACAGTATGCTACACATTACATGAGTGTGGAAAGTCGCTGCCGTTTCTGTTAAGGATTTGTATCTTTTATATTTGTCTTTAGACAAATTACAAAAGACGAAGACATTAGCACAGATGCATTTAATACTCAAAATATCTCCTTGTGCATATGTAAAACTGTGCTAAATCTTTCAGAGTAAATCACTTCCTCCCATACCTTTCCAGTCAGAGTTGGACTGTTTCACCAAAGCAGTAAAACCATGATACTGAGAAGCCCCTACATCTTACCAGAAACTTTAACAGCTGCTACTAATAACTGTATACAACTATACAAATGGCAAACATTAGCGCTGTCAGATACCAGCCATGTTATCTATGTGAAGCATGCCAAATAACGCAACACTGCAATGTGACGTTTGCAATCCATAACACTTGGCAAAATTCCCTCGTTGAAGGATGAAATCCACAAATATTTTCTGTCCAAACACGATATTTCATTCAGAATTTTAAATGCGTCTCGACGTGGGTTTGTTAAAGTTGGTCTCCTACCGTTTCTGTGCCGAACCAAGCCGGTCCTCTTCAGCGGAGTGATCCTTTTGAGCTGTAAAAAGAGAAAATGTCAGATTAAGATGGATTATGGGACGTATTATGGGGCTTTTGGTGACATAGATAACCGAATGTTTCAGATGACAGCTACTGAAAACTGATCCCGGGTCACCGGTGGAGTCCAGAGGGGGGCGCTGTGTTTGTCAGCCGTTTTTAGAGTTGTCAAGTGAGGAGAGAAGAAGAAGGGCTCTAGGTTGAGATGTCACTGACACAGTGAGCATGTTATCCAAGTGACAGTTAAGCACATTGTAAAGTTTGACATGCTTCTGTGTGTTGACGCATGAGAGTGTGAGCCGGTGACGCCTGGGCTCGGGGCGGGGAGCGGTGGTCTGTTTGCGGAGGTGTGTGTTTATATGTGTGTGTCGACATACATGTGCATGTTCTGAGCAGAGCTGAAGCAGGGGCGCAGGGTTGAACAGAGAGGCTTGGGAACTGGAGGCTCCTGTGGACTCCTGCCATGTAAAAGTGTCTAAATGCAAGGCAGATGTGTGCGGCGGGCCAGGCCGAGGTGCAAGAATTTATCTAGGGCCAGAGAGTGCCTGTGATCTCAGATTTATTGCATTTTTCCAGATTCATCCTTTTTACAATGATGGGGGACCTTTCCTACTTGAAGATTTAAGAGGGGGGAGTCTCCAAAAAATTGTTCAAAGGCAGGTTTGGGGGTCTTCTGGGAGAAGGTGAGCTTAAGCCTCCGACCAACTACTTTTTACTTTTACTTCTTCTTCTTTTTTTTTTTTTTTCTTTACATGTATGTGGGCAAGGGGACGTTTTTTTACATGTATGAGGTAAACCTAATGAAGGGGGTGGTGGCCATGTCTGGGATAGAGGGACGAGGGGGGAAGAGGAGAGGGGCCGTGACCAATGGCGTTAGTCTCAGTGGGGGTCAGGCTGGCGCCTGAGGTACCCCTCTGGTGCGACTGTGCAGAGGTGGCACTGGAGCCGAGACGCTGAAGGAGAGGGAGAGAGAGGGAGAGAGAAAGAGAGAGTGCCCCAGAGTGAGAGGATGTGTGAAGTTTCTCTTCCTCCGCTCCCTGTGTAAACATGAAACCAGTAGTCGCTAACTAGAAAGTTATGAGACGTGCATGCTGAGAGGGACAATAAATTAGGGCTTTAAAACTCTGACACACTTTTCCAAACCGCTGCTTTACCTAGCAGCCAGATAACAAAGAGACAGAGAGCGATCTAAGAGGGATGCTGAGGATTTCCACAAAGCATCCTTTTCCATCTCCCTGCACCACTTGTATTTAGGATACAGACAAATCTCTAAGACATCATCAAAAACAGGTTCCTTGGACAGCAGCCATCTGCAAATTTTACATGGGCTACGTAATTCAGCCATCGGAACAAGTGGAAGTTTGGTTATTGGGTTGTGACTCACTGACAACAAAAAGGATGTCATGATACACATGATTTTTTACACAAGCTGAGATTAAAAGCAGGAATTTGTTTTCAATTAGTCATGGCGTGTATTCAACACGGAAAATGTGCCCGTAAGAGCATCCCCAGAGGTTTCAAAGAGCTCCTATTAACACGGGAAACAAAAAGGTGGTTGATTAGATGTTGAAACTACTGCAGTCAGATCAGGAACAGCTTCTTTTTTTTTTCTTTTTCATGAAACCTTACACTTTTGAATGAGAGAAACAAATTGAACTGGAAATACAAAACCACATTCCAAAAAGTCAGACTAACTATGTAAAATTTGCAAACTTAATACAACACTCAAAAAAAAGAAATAAAAAAAAAAAGGGGGGGGGTGAATTCCAAAGCGTACGTAGGACTTGGCTTGGAAGAGGAGCAGAAACAATGACGAGACGAGGCCTAACAGAAGGGTTCAATGGCTTTCTGAGATGTCCCCTGTTAGATCTGGGAGAGATCACACAGGCAAGTTTAAGAGAGAGTGCGGGGCGTTCAGGTTCACCTGCAGGCCCTGCTGTGAGCCTCTCTGCAGCCTGGGTTATGGGTCAGTGCCACTCAGAAACACAACTCTCACTGCAAAGTTCTGTCTCTATCTGTTCATTCTCTGTTATTCTTTGATCCTCGGGTATGAGGACGAAGTTACACCGCACAGTTTTCCGAGGCTTCTGATGCTGCATTCCTCCACACTATTTCCTAACAGTTAATTTTCGATATCTAAAATCATGTGTCAAACACATGTATCTGTGGTCAGCCCTCCTGAGCATGTACCTGGGTGAGAAATTCACTCATTCACTGATGAGTCAGAGTTTAAGAGCCTCAGCCGCTCTTTGATGTGAGAACTGTTGCTTTGTTTTTGCCTTTTGAAGTCATGGAATCATCATGAACGATGATTACACACCGCTCCTCCCAAAGCACGGGCCGCAGCTCGAGAATTCTGTTCATGAAGGAAAGGTTTACAAGTATTCCGCTGGAAAGTTAAAGTTCAAGATGTGCCTTTGCAAACCAATGGCATTTTGTAGCCAGTGGCAGCCACAGTGGTTTACAAAGCTTTCAGATATTCTGCGACACTGGTCACAGCTCAAAGGAAATATCTTGCACTCAGAAGTACAGTAGTCAGGGCGCATAAACAAACTAGAACAATGTCACGCCGCATTGCCATTTCAAGAGTACATAATCCCAGCACAGACTGGATGCACTGACAATCATCTTTTTAGGGATTGTACTGCAGACATGGACAGAAACATATGGCTACAATCTCCTGGTGAGACTGTTGTATAGAAAAGATCTATTGTTTCACTAACATTTAATGACAGCCACTTGTTGCATGATAGGGGCTCTTGACTTGACACTATGTAAAAACATTAGTCTTTCACTCCATAAAAAGACATAAAGGGATGGTTTGTCCAGATTACACAGTGATGTTTATTCATGCAGATATTGTGGTTTGCCTTGGAGATGTCTGCTGTTGTCTGAATAAAGTGGAAATTTCTTTGTGGTGCTCACAATGTTGATAAATTACATGTAAATCTTTCAACAACAGGGTGTATTTTTTAGGACTGCAACTAATGGTTATTTTCAGTGATAATTAACCTTTTCTTTTTCTTTTTTCTTTTTTTTTTTTTTTTTTTACAAAATATCATTAAATAGTGGAAATTACCAACAGAGCCAAAGGTCTTCAAATTTTATTTTGTTGGATCACCTGTCTAAAACCCAAAGATACTGAAATTGAAAGGAATTTGAGCAAACAGGGAATTAATGGCATTTTTGCCATTTAAAAAAAGAAAAGAAAAAAGAAAAAGACAATTTATGGTTTGACCACAAATGTCTATCTGTAAATCACTGTCATAATTACTCTGGATTATTAGTGAAAAGACCTCAATTTTCATTAGAACTGAGAAAATAGTCGCTCTGAACGCTGCAGTTCCTGCATTATCCAGACTAAATGCAACACTTACTGGAAAGAAATGTTGCTGTTTTAATTTTTTAATTTGTTTTTAATTTAATTCTTAGGGTTTTGAATACCACAGATTAAATTCCATTCACTTCCATTGTTTTGAGCAGAAATGTCAAAGGCTGATACAAACCTGAACAAATAAGACCAAAACTATTTGGATGGTTATAAATGACTGAAAGTGAGATTTTTTTTTTTTTTTTTTTTGGTAATTTGGATAACTGACCCTTTAACATTTCAGAGTTTTCTAGACTTTGACCTACACTGACCTATTGATTTCATGTCCAGAGGCTGCAGCACAAAAACAAACAGTCATATTCTCTGTGTTTAATATCTACACACTGGATATTCAGTAAAACAGAACAAACGCAATGCAAGGACCAAAACGGACCATGGACCATGTGTTTTGGTCCACACGCAAATTTCAAAATTGGCACCAACAAATGTGCAGGTATTTTGACCAGAAACCGAGTGTCAAATCAACAACAGGCAAAAGACAAGTAAGTGCGAGAAACTCAGATCATCCTCCAACCTGTTATACTGAAAAACACCCGTCCAGATGTGTTTATCAAGAACAGTAACAATAGTTTATATTTAACATGTCTGTGGTGATGCTGGGATTTAAAACAGGCAGTGATCCACTTGTGTAGATGTGTGTATGGCACATGGAGAACACAGAATGGATCAAAAACTCTGGCATGTACCTTCGAGCCGTGCTCACTGCTGTTGGGTTCACTGTTGTCGGGTGGTAGAGTTCAGTGAGCATCCAGTGTGTTTTGGCTTTGGTTTAACACTGAATATCGAGGGCAGCTAATTCGCTTTATTTCAGGCTTTGGAGATCTGATGACGTGTCTGCTCTACCCCGCAGACTTCTATGTGCTGTGCAAAAAAGCTGGAGATTTTCACACAGCAGCATCAACGCAAAGTAATCAGGACAGAAAGTGGAAGTGGAAACAGAGGTTTTCCACCACCACTGTTACGTTTTTTTTTTTTTTTTTTTTTAAATGCACAACTGGATCTGGTGATGTGACAGCAGGAGAAAGAGATGGAGCCCTCTGTGGCAAACTTAAGACGTCTTAATGGTATTCACTCAAATACAAAAGAAGGTCTGTGTATAATAAAACTTTGGTGAAATAAGCAGATGGGTGCCTAATAGGCAGCATGGACCATCACTTTAATGATACGTGAGCCGTAACTCATGGAAATGTGTACACAGTCACTTTCAATAGTGAAGCTACCATTGTAGTTGTGTTTAAAAAGTGATGAAGGTTGAAAAAGACACAGATGTGGTGGGATTCTGTTTGCCCTTATTTCTTCTTCGTCTGTTCATTTCTAGGAATTCTCTTCACCCCAAAGTGCAGTGTGTAGACTTTCCAGTAAGAAGGCACAAATTGAGGATATTTTAGCATAATGTTACGAGTTAAGTGGCAGCTACTACAACTAAAATATGGGGTGGGAAGGAAGAAATTAGATGACTTGTGTCTGGGTCAGATCATGGGACAGACGGCGAGATGATCAGAGTGTGTCGGGGAGGCTGTGCTCCCGTCCCGGTGGTCCCCAGGCCTGATCCACTGAGGCCGGCCTCTCTTTACAAGGCCGCAGCCAGAGATGTCCCGCCAGCTTTATGGCAGCCGAGAGTACATGAGAACCATGTTAGAGGCAATGTGATCCCTTCTACAGGCCTGTAGACTCCTGTCCTCATGCTGTCTTACAGCGCACTGAGACGCCCTCTCGCAGCAAGAACATAAGACTACACACACACACACACACACACACACACACATATATATATACACTACAAGACAGATCCTGCACCACCCAGATGACTGGCTGACATAGCAAAAAAAAAAAAAAAACAACAAAAAAAGAAAAAACAACGTAATTATTCTTTCCTCTTTTTAAAAGGTCCCACGCTGTGTGTCTGGATGAAAGCGGGGCTTTTCTAGTTCTGTAATCTCAGTTTCATGACCATCTCTTCAGCTGTCCACCTGAATGTTTCATCTTTGAAGTCACTAAGAACTTTCTTAACAACTTTATATGAGTCAGGTCAGCTTCTAAGCAGGACAGAGGGCAAACATCTATCATCGCCACCTGGCAATGAGGACATGAGTGTGTGTCACTATCCATGATTGCATAGTTCTTGCACTGCATTTGTTCGTCAATTGCTACGTGCATGAAGATTTTTTTCCAAAAAATATTATGTAAAATGTTTCATCAACTTGATGATAGCTACACAATTAAAAGAACATTTATTTGTCTAAATTCACAGCAGATCTTTGCATCTTTTAGGAGAACATTTTGCTGATTGTATATTGTGGCAAGTAAATCTACAAAGTGAAGAACAAAATTGACACATATTTCGAACCAACATTCGTCTACAGTATGGCTGGGAAAAAAAAAAGAGAAAAATCTTAGCTTCACTCACCTGCAGAGATAAATCCCTCCATCTTCTCCTGGAAGGGCTGGAGGTGTTCCTCTGACGAGTTAGCACAGACCTTGTGCACATCCTTCTCACAAGCTGGAAGAGAGGAGAGTTATGATAAATGACCCGAAAGGCAGAAACAAATTGGAAATGAAGGATTTGAAGTGGGAGGAAAAATACCACCAAAAGTGTAAAATGTAAAAGTCATTTAAGGATATCATTAAAAACTAAGAAAAGTAAAATAAAATTAAGTGAAATAAATGAGACACGATCACTTGAAACAAGCGTGACCTGTTTTAAAAATGTGAGAAATGATCATTACAATAAAAAAAGGATAAAATATGTAACTTTATTATCTTATTCCCAAAAAAAGAAAAAAAAACAGATTTTATTTGATATATTGTATATTGTTGTTATCTTCTCTTTCTGTAATTCTCTCCTTTCTTTTTTAAAGTGTATTGAGACATGATGTGGGACACACTCTGCTACTTAAATGAATAAAAAATGAGGACAGCAATTGGAGGAGACAAAAGTGGTTTTAACACAAGGGCTAAAAAAGGAAGTTTCAGTTAAAGTGTAAACACTGTGTGCTTTCAATTGGAATGTTAACATGACATTTCCTTTGTATTTTGGTTATGTAGTTCTTCTTTTTCCCCCTTGGTGCAGAGCATCCCATGGTTTACATATCAATAATACTTTTAAATGCGCCCCCCCCCCTCCCCCCGTCCACAATATGTCCAAATGTCCACTACAGCGGACAATAACGTTGTGTTGTATTGCAGTGTATTCAGCGCCGTCGGTAGATGTGAGTGCAGCAGATGTATTTGCTGTTTGTGGATTGGTTTTACTTTGCGGTGCCAAATGACCCAACTCCCACGAGCTCAGGGAAAACAGGCGTAACTGAGCGTGTTCCAGCCGAACCTTCCCCATTTCCTCTGCAACTGTAAGCCTGCGTTACTCTACACACAGACGCCTGGTGAAAGAAGTTTGCCACATTCCTCCAACCTGTAAGTCATTAATGGCTGCAATAAAAACCTTAACTTGCTTATGACTGCATAGCTAAATTGTTCTGCATCACAACAAGAGCATTAACAGGTCTGGCCGCTGTCTCACTTCACTGCGTCGCTGCTTTTAGATCTGAGTTTGGCTCTGACATGTTTGCATGTGGAGTCGCTGCACCTGCAGCTCGGTAAACTCACTCTATGGCATCTTTTATTTATTGGATGTCTTAATAAATCAGGAAACACGAGGCCTGAGCATTAAAAGTGAGGAATAACTACATACAGCCTCACAGTCTGGATTCCAGGACACTTTCTAAATTGAAGGATAGTGAGAACCAGCAGTTATCAAAATAAAAAACAGAAATCAGCAACCATACAAACATGACAACCAAAATATCCTGTTTGGAGAAACCATGTTTCCTTACCAGAAATCCCCCCAACTCAAAAGGACCCATTAAAACAGTGTTTAAAACAGCGAGTCTACAATTTAGAGGCGGCTCTCTTCCAAATGTGGTCCAGACAGCAAAGGCCGCAAGGAGGAAGCCCACAAAAACACAGCAGCTGTAAAGAATAAAAACTAAAAGCTCCGGTTTGAGACATTGTCTTGGAGTGATAATACATTCAGAAGTAGGATTCTCCTGTATCGGGCTGGACGCAAGGCCTTAACACTTAAGGACCTTGGCTAGAGAAATTTAAATTTTTTTTCTTGCCACAAATGAAACCAAAATGTGTTAATGGAGCAGTGAATGTTAAAATGGTTTAGTATCCTTTGCACAAACAGCCCCATAAATTTTGATGGGACAAACCAAGCGAAATCAGATTCAGGTAAAGAGAAAGTTGTTGCTCTATTATGTTTACATTGCCATCCATTTAAAGTATTTAAAAATATTCTTAAGTATTCTACTTTTGGAAAATTTTTGTAGAAGTTTTTACTAAATGTTTGTATTAAAGTAATTGTGTATTAATATTTCAATATTTTTTTTATTTTCTGTTTTGTGTATTCCTTAAAATTTGAGTGTAAGTAACAAGAGTGTAATTCTGACGTAGAATTCCTTTCACAGGCTTAGTCACATTTACATAAAAATGCAAGTCAAAATCATCATCAGTCCATGTATATCTCAAGAGGCCCTCTGACTTCTTAGAACCGTAATCTTAGATAGAAACTGAATCAGCTATAACTCTGTTACGGATATATGAAACTTCAATCTGCTGCATTGAACAACCTTTGTTACCACAGTAAATACTGTAATTGCATTATAATTTGTGTCAATAAAGAAGTTGTTGAATCAAATAATTTAAACAAAAAAAAAATTAAATAATAATAATAAGTAAATATGGAACTGACTCATCATAACTGAAATGCAAATATAGTATGAATAGTCATCATATAATTAATAAACTGTAACAAAATATATATCTATCTGCAATCAGAGACTGAATGGAAGTCAATCATGGTTTTGTCTTACTCATCATCAGAATTTATATTTTGACTAATCAGACCTGAACAATGCATCGAGGACTTATACTACAATTAGTAATAAAATATAAGAAATAAATTACCATTCTAAAATATATATACACACATTGACTTTCTAACTAGTCAGGTAACAAATTACAGAAACCTATAATAAACATTTTTAACTATGCAGTAAGTCATATGCTGTTATAAATTTTTTTTACTATTATTTTTATTACAAATATCTAATAATACAAACTTTATCACCCCTATTTGTTAACTGTTAAAATAGCTTGTCATACGTTTTGTCATGGGAACAATTCTGACCAGTAATTTCAGTATAACAGGATATCATGGAGTGGCTTTGGTATTTGTGATCAGCAAGAAACACAAACCTGATTGTTCATTTTACAGCAAGATTAGCTACAATGCCGTGACTCTGAGCTGCTGGTGGCACAGTTTGCACCATCAGACACTCTGTCCAGTCATGCAGCCACAGGGGACTAGTTTCCCAACACAGACAGACAGGATAATGATGGGAGACAGAGCTCTGATCACTAATGGCCTTCCACTATTACTACAAGGGGAAAACAGATGAGATTACAGGCAGTGGACTCAGCACCTTTAGAACTGGGGCGCTAAAGAGACATTATTCAAATGATTGAAAAAAGATCATTTGTGTATGGCTGTAAATCACTTGTTAAAGCAGTGTCTTGATGGACATTAATTGGACATGATTGATTGATAGGAGTTCGCTCTATCTATCTATCTATCTATCTTATATCTCTGAGGGAACACAGAAGACATCACATGTGAATGGGAGAGAGTCGACCGGCCTTTGCGTAATATGAGGGGGCGATGTTGGTGGTGGAGCAAACGGGAAGAAAAACAAACATGAGAACCAGGATTTACGCAGTGTGGTTTGCAAAATGGAAGACTTTCATGTCATTATGTACTGCAGTGAACGAGAGCCCCCCCCTGCAGCTACCAGGAAATCTCAGCACACCAAAACAATACACAACTGTGTGTGAGGATTGGAGAAGATGCTTGAACAGTGGATGGGGAACACCACAAAATGAGAGAACTGGCTGTTTGATGAATGTTTCTGTCTCGTAAATGTGGCCATGAGGCCAAGTTCACGATGAAGCATAAACGCTGAGCGAGCAAAGAAATGACAGCAACTACAGGGAGGAAGAGACAGAGAAACAAAGTGTACACAGGTGATTCCTTTTTTTTTTGTCTGCTGAACTGCAATCAGCTGGCAACTAATTCCTGTAGGTCAAATTATACAGTGAACCTCTCTGAATCCCCGTGGTAAACAACATTTTTACAATATATTTTATATTTCATCAGAGGTTAAACCAGTACAGTGCTCCCGCCCAGGCATATTATAGCTATTTATACCTGGAAAGTGAATTTTCTAACTGATCCCCCAATTATCTCCAGTCCCAGCAGACTGTCAGACGTGCAGCCCTCCTCTCTGTTGGGATGAAGTCTACTAATTCTGCTCTGTGAGGCCAGCCAGGAGACTACCTCAGCAGGAAAAGGTAAGACCTTCCCTCCACTTTCCACTCCTCATAAATCAAACCCTATTCCATCAAACTCAAAAACTTCTCCTCAGTCTTTGCTGGAGAATAAAGTGCTGACAGGCAGAGACAATAGGCAGAATTTAGAATATGAGGTGGAGCATTACCCTTGTTTAGTTTGAATGCAGAGAGCATCAAAGTCGAAGAATATCGACAGATCGTGATCAAAATTAAGAGGCGAACTTTCCAACCTTTCATCATTTGCAACCAAAGTTAACATTATTTTTGCCTTGTTTAGTCAGACGGGCAGTGACAGTGCTTCAGCCCGCTGACTTCACACATGGCCCTTCAAGCTGAGCCTCCGTCGTAAAACAGACCTCAGGGTAAAGGCCCTGCCTGAACCTGACATTAAAGGCCATTTAAAATCAGGACACTGTCTGATTTGCCACGGTGATGAATGCCTAACCTGGGCCAGGTCTTCTGTGAAACACTAAACTCCCCTGAGCAGCAAATGAGCTCTGACTGTTTCTTTTTATTTGATCCTATTTCATTCGGTAGCGTCCCTGCCTCTCTGTCAGGCCCAATTATGTGGCAGTTAAAGGGTTCTTTATGTAGGTCCTCACTGGTCTTAAAGCACTGATCTGGAAATGCAACTTCAAGTATGATAAGCAACTCCTCGTGATAAAGCCAAAGTTGTACAGGATTTCAAAGATAAACATAATCTTCGGTTTGGGTGCTGGTTTCCAAAACTAACTGCACCACTATACATGATCTGAGACATGCACAGAGTGGAATATACTATAAGTCTTTATGGGAGCTGAGAGTCCTACAGTAGGTTTAAGTCCCCGTGGCCTCCCACTCATCCCTCTCAGAGAGCACAGAGAGAGGTCATCACCCTCTCCCCAAACAGGAAGCCCCATCAAAAGAGGATCAAGTTTCTGCACAAGCCAGTGAAGGAGAGGGCAGCCAAGCGGCTGGGGACCCGCTCCTGAGCATCACTGTTGACTCGACGCTGCGCGCACACACGCATGCAGGAAAGTGCAGACAGTCATTTCGTTTGCGCTCGTGAGACTTTGTGTGAATTTAAATGCAGTACACCGATTTGTATGTTAGAGGCACCAATGAATCCACATAGAGAAATCCCGTCTGGAGGAGTGGGGGGTGAAGCTAGGAGAGATGAATTTCTGACTGCCAGCACCAAGTCTCCTGACCTTTGACCTGAGGCTGGAGGGCAAGACACAGCCAAGAGCTGCAGTCGCCACCTCAGGATCAGGTGAGGGGCAGACGGCCTCGCTTGCCTCAGTCAATTCAAAGTGTGATTCAGTGTTAGCTTCTCTGTGTCAGACACAATGTGGATGGAAGTGATCTGTGTTAGCGTTATAATTAAGACCAGTTGCTCTCTTTAGGCTGGTTTATAATAGCCAGGCATAAATATTTATTCCTGGCGGCTGGAGAGGATAAAAATGGCGGGAGTCATAGGTGGAGCTCACCAAACATCCAGAATCCAACGCTCACCCTGTGATGCTAATACCCCCGAGGACTACTGTGCCAGACTGTGCTGCAGCAGAGATCAAATACGAGGGCCCTTATGTTGCATTTATTGTCTTCAGCTCTTCCATTTTTCCTAATAAATGAGTGACAGCTTGAGGTGGGTCTGGGTACTTTAGTAGACTCTTTGTATTTTTCCCCCGGGTCAGAGAGGAGAGGGCTTTAACAGCGATCTAAAAAACGTAGGGGAGAGCTGTGGAGCATATCTAATTGCTTTCATATGCCGTATTATTGGTTGATTTAAATAACCACAGACACCAGGGGCACTGGGGGGCATCGCCTTTAACCTCCGCATGGCCCTGGCCAAGACTGACTGGCTGGATTGTTGCGTTACCGAGTGGCTCGGCGCCCGCGACACTTCAGAGAACTTCAGAACAGAACACCAAAAGTGTGTTTATCAGCCGGTTGTCACTCTGATCTTTTCTCAATGAGCTGGAATTTGCTTTTTTGGGTAAAGAAATGAAGATGCTTCTTCGTTGTGGTGTTACGACGACATGGATGTTAAGATACAATGTCTGGAAACTAAGAAATACTGCCTCAGGCCAAACCAAGGTCCTGAACACACCCACAACCCGCTCTGCTCAGGGTAGTAAGAGTGCACAGGATGTACATTTACATTTAAACCGCTCTGGTGAAAGACAGCAATGTATACAATTACACTGACTGATTCACAATGAAATTAAAATGACCTGAGCAAAGAAATACCGTCATACAGCACGTTATGTCCTACCCGATAGATCTCTCTTCAGCTTCCTGATGTCCTTGGTGATGTCTTCAAACTTAACCTGAGCAGCCTGGAACAAATCCTGAGGCTCTGGCAAAGGGAACACACTCTTCTCTGTACCGGCATGCTGAAACAAAAAATGTGAATGTGTTGAGAGGCAGACGTTTGAAGATTCTACCATTTTGTTCTTTTGTTTGGCATAACCTTACCTCGTCAAAGTTACGTAGGTAGTATAAAACCACATAATCCACCAGATTGATACGATTGTCCTGAGGAAGAAATAACTGACGTTATCCACCCATATATCACTGTCATTGTGTGAGTTTACTTAGCTAATATTAACAGGAAATTACGCCAATTTGGTAAGATTTTAAGTGTAAAGTTATAAGATGTGTTACCCTGCTCTTGACATCTTTTAGTTTGGGGAGGATCTCTAGTCCAAAGCCATCAGCTTGACCTCTTGTCCTGTTCCCTCCATTCATATAATTCCCAAAGGCCAGAACGAGACCCATTATATCCCGCAATCTGTCGCACTCTAGCAGCTCCTGACACACACACACACACAGACACACACACAGACACACACACACACACACACACACACACACAGACACAGACAGCACACAGACACAGACACATACACAGACACACACACACACACACACACACACACACACACACACACACACACACACACACACACACACACACACACACACACACACACAGACACAGACACACACACAGAGGTATTGAGTGAGTTAACTCACGTAACTTAATGACACTTTTCAGAAGCAGTTAATTCATGTGATGTTCTTACTTTGCTGACATTGGAGATAATCTCCACCTTGCGACGGATGGAAGAGATAGTATCGAGAAACACTGACTGGAAGATGATGCAGTGGGCCCGGCCCGCAAAATCAGGAATCTGGGACAGCTCATAGAGAAACCTGGAAAACAAAAGGGGAGGATGAGCAGAGGGAGGAGGATGGGGTGTGATGTGTTATGACAGAATTAAACAAAATGTCTAACAGGAAGAACTATTTCAGGGCCTTGGCAGGCCGAGCGTCCCCACGCAGGCCGGCTGAGTCAGTGTTGGTGTTCACAGGCAGGCAGCGGCAGCTGATAGTCATGAGCGGCGCTGCTCGGCTGGGTTTGAGAGGTCCACGGGGTCGGGTGGAGGGAAAGTGGCGAGCGGCGCACAGAGACTGATCAAAGGTAGCTCTGGCCTGATGCAGGACGACTTGTGTAAACAGTGCCGTGTCGGAGGGGAGCGGAGCGGTAACATCCTGTGTGATTAGGCCCTGCTGATGGAGGTAGACACTGAGTAGGGATGACTCAGGCAGCCTTAGTGACAGCTCTGGTCAAACATGGAAATAGGAAGGCCAGGCTGAGCGGCACCGCTGAGTCCAGGCCTCGTTAACCGGCCCGGACTACTTAACCCTGACAGGAACTACTGATGTTCATTAAAGTATATGTTTGCCCACGTACAGTTGTGGAAGATTATTTTAAGAATATAGATGTTGATTTTAGTTGGCCTCTTCCATAATATTCAGTACATAACATAAACTGTATGTATATAGTTTAATTTGTTTGACCAATAATTCATTCAATAATTAATTACTAATGATCATATATATTTTGTATTGCACAAATATGACCAAATGTGTTCTGTGAAATCTGAGAAACCGATACTAATTAATTACTAACTAATTTAGCTAATTTAACAGTTGCAATATCATGCACATCAATACAGACAGAACTAAACTCAATTCATCTCACCTTAATTTCTCTAATATATACAACACAGGTACATAAAATGTTGGAACTCATGGTGGAAGTGATCTTACTGTTCAGGTTTGTCCAACAGTTTGATTTCATCTTCTTTGGACTTCTCATAATGTCTCATTATCTTGTCCATCTCGTCAGTGGTTGCCCTCTGTCAAGAGTCACAACACACAGTCCACAATCAAGGCTGACACTGGTAAATATGTTTAGTAAAATAACGACACACATTAGAAATCTAGATGCTAAATAACAAAAATGATTTGCACTGATAAAAAACCACACACTCAGTAGCAATCAAAGCTTTTATCTCCTTTCTTTTAAAGCCTCATCCACCTCACTACTTTACTCACTATAATGCCACCCAGACTTCTCCTTCATACTTACATTTTCATATAAAGCCTCAATGGTCTCCAAGTCCACCACAGAGTTGTCCACAGTAAGAACCGCTGGAACAGTAAAGATTTTCATTATAAACAGTCAGTCTTATAAATGGATAAGATCTTGGCCAAAGCATGCTGCCTTTCAAGTGCTGCCAGTACTTGAAGAACAAACTTGTTTTCCTGTCTTGGGGATGTAAACTCATGACAGTACTCATGCCCTGTAATTTTGTTAAACACTGGCTAATAGAACATTATATTTGTGGTAAACTGTATGTAAGACATATTATATATTGTAGCAGAATTAAATAGTAGTGGCCAAACCAGAAAATATTTGACAAAAAAAAATCAGGGGGCTACTTGCTTCTGCGCAAGACCTGCACCAAAAACCAAAACACATCAGTTAATTACCATGTAGAATTATACAACTAATTTGAAATATTAGCTTGAGGTGGTGAAGCTGGAAGTGTGGCCAGGCTGTGGGGGCAGAGATATGTGGGGCAGACTGGGCTTCAGACCAAGATGGGCGAAACATGCCTCTCCTTCCCCCTGAAGAAAGCAGATGAATCCCCCTCACTGTGGCTCAAAACAGAAAGCTTAAAATTGCTTAACCGCTCCGACCACATTTAGAACCATCACAGCCGACTGTAATTATTTTTAGAGAGAGGTGAGCAGAGCGAGAAACAGAGAACGCAGGAGGAGAGAATGAAAGAGAGAGAGAGAGAGAGAGAGAGAGAGAGAGGGAGAGAGAGAGAGAGAGAGAGAAGGGTATATAAATGCTGGCAGAGACCATGATTTAGACACTTTCACCTACAGGCTGCATGTTTGTTTAGCTTTACTCAAACACTAAAAACCGAAGCGCGCTTGGAAGGCAGAATGCAGAGGACACCACAAAGAGAGAAAGTGACTCCTGTTCTGTGTCTGAGAGGTGTCACAGGTTTACAGCTTAGTGAGGGAGGAGGGGAGGAGAAGACGATGGAGGGGGTTGGTGGCTCCAGTGCTCCTGGATCAGCTGACAGTTGCCTGGCTGGTGTCAGCCGAGCAGGGCTGCACGCTACCTACTGTTCTTAAACCAGTCACTCAATGTGACAAACCATCACTGTCACCAAGACCAAGCTAATTTCAGGATCCCAAAACCAAGAAGAACTGATGCAGTGACAACCACACATTTTAGCTAGGCGTACCTAATAAACTGACAACTGAAAAATGTAACTTTTGCTAAATAACAGCCACCGCATGACAGTAAAGGGTAAAATGTAGTGTAACAGTAGCACAAGTAGAGAATGGTCAAAGTCACTTACTGACTACAGTCACCTGCACAGCAAAATCAAGATTTAAGCTTGCTAACACTGACAATACATTAGCTTCATAGCATGTGCATTGACATGAAACTGGCTAACTTGCTAAATAGCAAACCACTATAGCCACAAGTGACAATTATGTGATGATGGTAAATGGGAAAACTTTACTGGTGTTACAAGGTCAGCTACACAGTAAGTAGCTATTGTTTGCTAACATTAGCCACCATAACTAGTGGTCATACCAGACCAAGTAAGACTGTAGTAAATAAAAATAAAAAGATTTCTTATAATTCTTACAATTAAATTTTTGCTGAAGAAGGTGTTATTGCTTCCTTCTTGCTTTATTGTTTCTCTTATCATGTTAAGTTAAATCCATCCATCCATTAGCTATTAGCTTATCTTTAAAGTGTTGTGGGTGGACTGGATATGGAGCCAATCCCAGCTGACATTGGACGAGGGCGATGCACACCCTGGATAGGTCGCCAGTGTATCACAGGGCTGACATATAGAGACAAAACAACCATTCATAACTATGGGCATTTTAGGATTGCCAATTAACCTAATTGGATTGGGGGAGGAAGCAGGAGTACCAGAAGAGAACCCCCAGGGCCCGGGTTTGAGCCCAAAACCTTCTTGGTGTGAGTAACTACTGCACCACCGTGCAGCCCAGATCATGATTTTGTTAATTTTTTTTTCATTCATTTGCTTATTTTTTTAGGATCACAAGGAGGCTGGAGCCAATTTTTTTTTTTTTATTTAGAAAAAATTCATGGTATAAACACTAGAATGTAGAAAAAGTTTCAAGTAGAAAAACAAACAAACACACAAAAAAGTGCAGTTTTCGGTATCAGCACTACAAGTATCATGTATCGTACAGGCAAATGTAACAATTTGAACAACAACACCGCACTAGTCTTTTCAATCTCATTGCTCCCGGCTAACAAGGTAATACTTTGCATTCTGGTTCCCAGCTGTTCCTGTTGCAGAGAAGCTGTCAATGTGGTCCCAATGTCTGGATCACAGAGAACGCTGGAGGTCCATTTCCTACATCTTATTAGAGTGGATTATTCAGTCCCTCAGCCATGCAGCCGTCAATCACACACCAAAGGGGGGCCTGCTCCACTGTGCACAGGAGCACTCTGATCCGAGGGGAGCCGGATATCTCTCCACACCGACAGATCAAAGCCTGCCTGCCAACCGCCTTACACCCTCTCCTTCCACTTTTCACTCATCGGCTTTGGTGTGGAAGGGCGTGTGTGGTGTGTGAACATGTGTATGTGTGTTTGTGTGCGTGTGGTGAGGTGGTGTGTGGGGGAGAGCCTCCCTTTGCCCTTGAACCATGGTGGCCCTTGAGGTCCCCCCCAGTCACTCCGGCGGGTGCAGCTGACCCCCTCTCTCCCTTAACCAGAGTGCTGCCTTCTCTGCTCCCCTCCTTCCCGCTCTCTCTCCCTCCCTAGTAGCTCTAATTACATTACATGTCCCATGTCCTTTTAATTTGGCAACAAAGGGGAGGCAAGCAGGCGAGGCAAAGGACTAGAACCCTTAGAAGTGCTTATTAAGGTGCTGTCCTTCATTGTCAAATTCAAGTTGTCCATTTCACATTCACCTCCCATTAAGGCGCAAGGAAGCAGCCTCACGCTGGGTGTGATCAGGCCTTTTTACCAAACCACCTCTACAAACTGACAATCAAGTGAAGAAAAAAAAGTCTAAACAGAATGGGTGTCCTGGTGCTGTGTGCTGTTTGGCTTGTGTTTGAGGTGGTTTTATGTGGTAGGGCAGTGTCTGCTAACTGCAGAAGGTGGTTTTGTACATGCTTAGATCATTAGTGGGGTGTCAGTCCCATTAGGCTTGTGGAAACCGTCACTGGCTACAATAAACAGATCTGCTGGCCGCATGCTCAGACTAGCAGGCGGCAGGCGCTCTCCGCCACAGTCCCAGGACAGGACCAATTCCTGGCCCATCTACGCTGTCCCCAATACACACATTATGTGTTTACACAGACATACAGTCACTTACACACACACACACACACACACACACACACACACACACACACACACACACACACTCATTTTCCACAGAACTACCAAGCATGCAATCAATCCATGCAGCTCTTCATATGAAGAGGATGGCAATTTGATTTTAACCAGTGCCTGAGGGACTTTGAGCAGCCTGACAGAAAAAGTGAAAGGCTGCTTTCATACCACCATTTTGAGAAATCAGGACATTTTCTTTCCCACCGTGGTAACTGGAAAAATCATCCACGTTCCACTTGAAACACAAATTAATCAAAAAAAAAAAAAAAAAAGTGTCTCTGGCTACAAATTAGTAGCTGTCAACTGGTGGGAAATTATTGTCCGCTGCAGGGCTCTCCACACTATCTCTTCCCTAAAAATAACTCCATCTGCATTTCATCAGGAGTCATCCTCAATTTATTGCTAAATGGGACTGTAAATTCAGTTTATTACTGTACAAACTAAATAAGAGCTCCTTGCTTGAAAGGGATCAAAATGATATCATACTGTAATGTGCACAAGCTTCTGGAAAAGATCAGAAAATATTTTTTACCTTGGTGAATGTCCTTCATCTCCAGATGCAGGCTCGATAGGAGGATGCCAACTGCTTGTGAACGCTTCCCATCCAGCAGCTTGATAATCTAGAAAAAAAAAAGAAAAGAAAACAAATGAATTCATATTGTTATGAGTGTATTTGAAATTTAAAAGCTGTATGCACTTCAGTTAATATGGTTTAAACTGACTAATTACTATATGCTAAATTGATTTACCATACCATACAGTCCGATCAAATTTCAACTAATATTATTATTGTAAATTACTTTACAAACCCACGGAAAATTGCTTCATATTGTTTGTCATTACTCTTCATACCTTCCGTCAGTGCAATTATTCAAACACTGACAGAAGCAAACGGAGGAAAGAATGATGAATAAAAAGTTCATTTCTGTAATGAGTGGCTGGGTAAAAATCACTTAGTCACTTCCCCAGCTGTGGAAGCAGATGATAGATGATGAGCTTGACAGACCGCCTAAAGCCCCAGTGAGTCTAAGTAGCCTGGGAATCATCTGGTTTGACCCAAACGACCAGACTAATCAACACACGTTGTCATAACCCATCATCGTGACGCAAACGACTGGGAAACGCGGTGCACACACACAGAGCCGGGACACATTTAGTCAAGTTACATCAATGAGGGAGCAAACTTAAACAGAAAAGCACCTCCTCCAGTTTTGCTGAAGAACATGTGTGAGATATAATCAAAAAATATCAAGTCGCAGTGAAAGTACAAAGGCAAAAGTGGCACCATAAAAGGACAGTCTAGAAGAGCAAGGCAAGGAGAAGCAGGGTTTTTATAACAAACTATAAATTCACAGGATTTTTATTTGTGCCTACACATGGTCACAATTACTTATGACTGAATTAGCCGTAAAGCCAGAGAGAGTTTTGGCAAGGTAAAGCCCCGCTCTAAAAGTTAATGTGTCAGGCTTCTTCATTAGGTATTATGGCGTTGTCGGCTACTGGGCTGTCCAGTGGGAGCTGGAGAGCAGAAGCCTTAGAAGTGGGTATTGCATTACAGGGCGTTAGTGGGTGCCATGCTGCTTCCAGGTCTATTACCTGGATCACTGGGGATCTCCCACTCTGGGGACTTGAGACGGCTGAGTACCAGGCTTTCCCAACACCTCTAATTAACCACTTTGGACGGGCCACACTAAAAGCAGCCCAGGAACCCTTCCCGCTCACTGTGGCTGCAGAACTCGCCAATTAGCCTAAATAGTTAAGTTAATGAGAAAGGACAACTGATGCTGGATGCTTGGTTTCAGACACGCAAACAGTTTGGGTAAGCGGAGGCAGCCGTGCGATGCTGATGCTGACGCTGACACTGACACAGCCAGCTGCTCCCTCCTGTTTATGAGAAGACAACTGGAGGCACTCTGAGGATTTCATCTGAAACTGCTGTGGACACTTGAATAACAGGTCAAAAGGAAAGAGAAGAGAAAGCGAGCAGAACTAAGAAAATAAACAAAATAATGGAGGCAGACACTGGGAGTGTCAGCGTTTTGAGCCGAAGCAGGTGGCTGATGTTAGGCAGTGTGGGCAGGGTGATGCAGATTTCAGAGCCGAGCGGATAGTTTACACAGCCTCGGCTGAGCAGCCAGCCTGCTCCGCGGTCACTGTCTGTCTGACTATCTGTCTGGAATCACCCAGGCAGATGTTACAATAACAACTGGATCTGGACTTCCCATCAATAACCACCTACGATACACTCAACAACCCCATCTCACCCAGTGGTGTTAATCTTACACCCACTCTCCCACGTCATAGCCACGGCTTCAAATATGTCTTTAATAAACGCAGTATGATTGCTCATAAGTCATTACTTCCCATAAACCGGTTAAAGCTGCTGTTTGTTTAAGGAGACCTGCTATGTGTAAACTTCATACATGTTTGATTTATGTGGGTAGGGGAAATTGCCGTTTTTGTGTTTACTGATGCGCATTTTTGCACACCAACTGAAAAGCCCATTTAGCTCGACTTGATTTCTTCATCCCCGTCTCCCTCCTTGCTCATCCCTCCATCAAGAATGCACCGACATGCCCATTCTTCCCCCACTCCTATAGGTGCCCCGTCTTCATTGCCTCCTCTAGCCAGTGGAGTGGAGCCACATGCCAGCAATTATACCCCTGGTCCAGTCCGGTCCTCTGTGTTCTGGTCTGCTGGGGCGGAGGAGCTCTCTTCCATGTCATCTCCTCTGCTTTGATATGCTAATCAGCAGAGAGAGAAGGGCTCCAGAGTAAACAAGAGCTTTGATTTTTCTATGGCACACATGATACAGATTAACTCACTCATGTAGGCATCGGCTGCATGCCCCGAGTTGAAACTTTTTGGCGTGAGGAGTTGTTGGAAAGCGGGGAAGTGGCTCATATGCATAATGTACACACACATTCCAATCCCTCCCGCTCATCTCCTCTCACAGCCCAACCCCACCCACCCCACCCCCAACCCGGGGGCTGTGGCGTTAGCATGATCTGGCAACACTTTCGGAGCAAGTGCATAATGACTCGCGAGGACGTGCTGTCGACACGCACGTGCACTCGAGCACACAGACGCGCACACTCAGAAACACACACAAAGACACAGAAACAAATGCACTCTCCCTCACTCTCCCTCTCTCACACACACACACACACACACACACACACACACACACACACACACACACACACACACACACACACACACACACACACACACACACACACACACACACACAGGCAACATCAGAAGTGAGTTCTGCTCAGATGTGGAGTATGTGCTGGCACAGGCAGAAGGCAGGTAGTGTGTGTGATAGCTGACAGGTATTGGTAGTCACGCAGAGGGGCAGAGCCCTCTGAGTCTGCAGAGTAAAACAGCCATGTTGAGGCCCCAGACCTCTGGCCTTGGCACACATTCATCAAGCTTCTAAAAATGACAATAAAACTACTCTGTGAACAAGTTATTCAATTAAAAGTTTATCAAGTAACTTGCCACTACTTAAAGAGCAAGTGACTGATCGCATGGGTGAACCAGGAAAAACTATTTTTCAAGTTAATTTTATTCGTTTTATACATCTTCATTTGCAAGAAAAATAATCAGAACTATTTTGAAAAAAAGATTAATATATTAATAGTGAGCAATTTATTCGAAAAAATTGGATAAAACAAGTCGAGCTTCAAAAAGGTGAATATTTTATGGTCTTCTTGGCCGTCTATGGTGGTAAATTTAACATCTTTGGGTGCTGGACTGTTGGTGGGCCAAGACATTTTAAGACTTCTCCATGGACTCCATGGAAAAGGATTAATAGATTAATTAAGAAAATAAGCAGTCGTGAAAATAATTCTTATTTGCAGCTGTGAGATGTATAAATAACGAATCCAAAATTATTGGAAATTGGCTGAAATAGTAAGAAAAAGAGAAGCAGAGCGGAGCAGCTGGGAAAGTCTCCAACTGAAATAAAATGAGGAGTATAAACCATCGCAATGACAAGTGCAGTCAAAAAAAAGATGTATGAAAACAAAATCTTTTGCACCTCAAAGTGATGCAAGAAAATGTGGTGTGACAGCTTATCAGAAGCGTGTCTGGAAGTAACAGCTCACTGTAAAGCAGCAGCTGCAACAGGCAAGCAAAAAGAAACCAAAAACTGGTATAATCTGAAATGTATTGTTCATGACGAGCGCATTGATGTGTCGTCCTTCCAAAATACGAGTCAGAAGGCGTGTGCCTGCCTCTGTCTCTCTAACAGGTTATTCTTTAACTAAAACAAAAGTATGATGAATGGATTTTATTCTGAAATTTGCAAATGATTTTAACTTTTAACTTTCAGTTAGCACCAAATTTTTACTTCAGATAAATGAGGACCTGGTTCTCTGTCTGCTGACCGTCTGAGTGACGCCTACACATCCTCTCCATTTTCATCATCACATTTTTTTTTCTTTTTTTGCTAATTCTCTTTCTTTCCAACCTCAATGATCCATGCCTCCTCAACACAGTTTCAACTAATCTCCAACCCCTCTCTTATTCTTCCACACCCTCCCCAGAAAATCTGTTTCTCCTCACTCCATGCCTTCCTTCTCCGCTGCCTCTAAACTTTCCCACCTTTTAACCAGCTGAACTTCTTGGAAGCCGCCGTCAGCTGGTGATTGCGATGATTTCTCCCTCAAATGATTTCTCTCTCTTTATCTTCCGAGTATAAACTTTCAGGGATAAAAAATGATTACGTAAACACGTTTCTTTTATTTTGACGACCTTTTCAGTGAGTTGGAATTCTGAGCGGGTTGAAAACAACCATGCCTTTCGCGTATTCACTTTCCCTCTTCAATCGTAGAGCTGGACTCCGACTGCTCTCCCTGGCTCTAAACACAGACCTTTATATTAAATATAAGACGCCTGTATAATCAAAGTACTGTTTACACAAAATGTCTAAACAAAGATATAAACCTCAGCCAGTGTATCATACAGGTCCTTTTCTCATATTAAAGAAAAAAAACAAAACACCGAATGCTATGTTGGACATGGCTTTTTTTTGATTGATAGAAATTAGTTTCAACAGTGTTTCCATTAGTGGGGTCAAACATCTTGCAGGCTGATGTAAGCCCAGACAGGAGACAGTTGGCAGGATTTCTGTCTGGATGTGGCTGTCTGACTTGGATCAAATGTTGGACAGTTTGCTGCCTTAGAGTGACCAGACTGAGCAGAGAGATGTAAGGATGGAGATCAAGGGCAGAAGAACACACACAACCCCACACAATCACGCACACACACACAATCACGCACACACACACAATCACACACACACACACAATCTGTGGCCCTCTGGAGCGGAGTGGAGCCTTAACAAATTGATCAGAATAGTGGATGTGTATGGATTTAGAGGGGACAGACGAGGGCAGTGGCCGATTTTTTAACTGCTTGGACGCCACAGTGAGGACCACTAGGCAGCCAGGATGCTGACGCAGTGCTGGCTTGCAGTAGAAGGTGCAGAGTTGCAGCATTTGACCAGACATCAACAAGTGTGTCTTTGGAGGGGAGGGGAGGGGAGCGGTGGATCAATCTGGCAGAAAGCAGAAAACAAACTTTGAAGCCTGCCCAGGAGGGAAAAAAACAACACAATCCTGAAGCCCTACCTACATTACAATCCTGCGCAGTAAGGGTAGTTTGCCAAGGGAAAAAAGAAAAAAACTCAAGGGAGTAAAACTCATAAACTGATAGCCTGTGTTGGCCCGAATGCAATACCTGGCAACAGCCTGGAGGAGGACCTGATGAGAGGCGCAATCCATTTCTTTCCGGTTCACCTTTTGTTATTTCTTTCTTTGATTTATTATTGAACATGACAGCAGCCAAAAAGGCCTTTTTTTCCCCAAACAAAGCTAGATAAGAAAAAACACTAACAACGCCCTCAGGTGGCTGCAGCAAGAGACCGAACCAACAAGATAACCTTCAACTGCAAACGCATCAAGGAAAAACTGAGACAAAAAGAAGATAGGAGCCAAGCTGAGGAGGCGTGAGTGAATGTACCTTCTTTGTCTTGGCTTTCTTCTCATAGGTGTCTGACAGGGGTTTCTTCTTCGGCTGTAGCGTGGCCTTAGAGAAAAGATCCTCAAACTCATTGGTGTTGACGATGTTCGGTTCCTCCAGAGAGCCCCACAGTGTGTTGTTGCTAGAAAAAGAAGTGAAGATCTTAGTCTGTGTTGTATTTTAGTAGATTTGAGCATAAATCAATACCAAGCTTAGGTTATAGGGTGCAAAAGATTTGATCACAGTCACGACGACAGGCCAGCAGCTGACACGGCAGGCTAGAAACATCTAGGTTACTTGAGCTAAACAAATTGTGTGTTCTATTTGTGGAAGATTATTTGATGTTTATTCAATCTTCCCACTGTTTGCCATTTTCCATTTCGCTGTCCGACAAACACTTGGCAGGAATGGCTGCAAAATCTCAGCTTTAAAAAGCTCTGTTTATGAGCTAGGTGATAAAAATAACAAAAGTTTAAGACAAGGCTTGTTTCTGTAATAAAGGACCATTTCCAGCAAATGGACAAGAATAGGGGAGGCGATGTTTTGTTTCAGAAGTTGCTGAGTAACATGGGAAAAACAAACAGAGACAGAAATAAGAACAAGAGGTGTCTAAAGTCAAGAGGATGTTCAGGAACGTCTCTGTTCACTCAAATTCAACACATCTGTCTCTACTTTCCCTAAGAACATCAACAAGACATGGTAAACGGTTCACTAACAAATAAACTTATTCTAAAGCAAGACTGCCGCATGATGACATCTGTGATACACTACACATGCCTAATAACCACTTTTTAGCCTTTCCCCCACGTTCCCCCGCTTTCCCCCGCTATCTTTTCACACACTGCAGTTGTCGACACAGTTCATATTCTAATGACATTACTCAGGTCAGTCTCCCAAAGTCAAGGCCCATCTATAATGAGAAAGAGAACCTGGATATACAACACACGAACACAAGCGCTGGCAGGCTTGTCGTGGCTTAAATATCAGAACAATCAACTGCGCTGCCAGTGACTCAGTGAGGGTCAAGTAAGTCCAACATTTTCTGCTTGCAGTTGGCCTCCTGCAGCAGCGGTGAGAGTATTTATCTGGGGCAGCCAAGAGATTTTCGGTTGAGGACATAATGGTACCGTCCTGAAATCCTCCTCTTTGCAGATTTTTTGCACTACTTTCTGAGAGACCAAGGAAAATAAGTCCAGCGAGCAGCCTCCGACTCTGAACCTGACAGTGCAGGAAACTAGCTTGGAAAAGAAAATTACAGCCAAACCCCAAGAGATCTTTCCATGCAAGACAACTTTCTAATTGACCAGCTTATGACTATAATTGAAAATCCCTCCCTTAAAGCCCCCCCCCCCCCCCCCCCCTTTTTCTTTTAAAATGCAGCTTCCCAACAAAATCTGTCCTGCGTGCTGCCAACTGTACTCCGTGTGTCAGCTTACATTTAGACACCTGGCATCATTTCAACCCCCCCCCCAATAACTCAGAACCTCACGCCATTAACAGAGATCACACAGCTGATCCAGCTATAGTTAAACATCTGACCCATTTAATGCCCCTTAACTTGGCCCTTTACAGTTAAATTTATAGCTGACATGAAACTGCTGTAGTGTAGTCAGTCAGTCCCCCAGCACTGGCCAGGACCAGAGAGAGGGAGAGGGAGAGAGAGAGAGAGATGAGAGAGAGAGAGGAGGGAGAGGAGAGAGAGAGATGAGAGAGAGACAGCGACAGCGCCAAGTGACACGCTGCCCCAGCCCTCCCACCCCATAAGCCAGCCATGGAAATACAAGGCCATAAAGCTGGAAGCCTGGCACTCTGAGGCAACAACCACAGCCACTGTAAATGGGCTGGATAATCCACTTACAATTACAGAGTATCTCGATACAGCCTCTAGATGTGGGAGTGCCCATATCTCCGATATCTGTCTGACCAAGCGTGTTCAGGTCAAGAGTGAGACCCCATTAGACCGGGGTCAATGACGCTTCATCAGCTCTGGGATAACGGTAGTTATGTAGTTCGTTCTTCTACTTTGATTATTGTCCGTCTCGCACCGAGCTTGCCACTTTAGTGACATACTGCAGTAATCCCCCACACACACACAGTCTTTGCACAGTTAGCACAAGTGAGACAGGTCAAAGTTGAGCTGGGATGAGGGTCTGTAAAGCTTTTCTGTCTAATAAGACTGGCTAAGCTGGAGGTTTTTGGTTAAAGCCTGTATGATGATGATGATGTTCCTACTGCTTGTGTTTCTTGCCCAGTCTGACTTATATCTCCAATACTATGAAGATCGCTTTTACACACTGCTATACGTACTTATTGTCCTGTATCTGTATCCTGGTCCAGTACAGCGGCTTCATGGGACAGGCTGGCTCGACGGTAGGCTTCCGTGGGGCCTTCTCCACGCTCTGGCCAAAACTGAACCCCCCCATAGGCGGAGGAGGTGGAGGACAACATCCTGGAGGAGGGGGAGGAGGTGGTGGACCAGCTCCAGGTAGGCCAGGAGGGGGAGGCGGAGGGGGTGGGGGCGGCGGGGCACTCAGGGAAGAGGAAGGTTGGTGGAGGGGTCGGTGGTGGTGGTGTCCAGCGTTGCTGCGACAGGGCGGGGAGGGAGGAGGAGGAGGAGGAGGAGGGGGCGGTGGTGGTGCTCCAGCGTTGCCTGGAAGAGGGGGAGGAGGAGGAGGTGGTGGTGGTCCTGAAAAGCCTGGTGGAAGTGGAGGAGGTGGAGGAGGAGGTGGAGGTGGCGGGGCTGGTCCAGGAGCCCCTGGGGCCGCTTCACCTTTTAGGTTCAGACCGATAGAGTCCAAGTTGAGTTTTTTCGGCACGTTCTGGTTGGGGCTTTGAGCGAGACCGCCCCCATCACCCTCAGGGCTCTTGATGAAGGTCTCCCTGTCCGTCTGGATACCCACAGTGCGGTAGGTCTTGCTCGTGGGGTCATCTGCCGTGGACACAGCGGCATCGCGGACTTCACCGCGCTCCTGACTGATATTGTACGACTTGTCTCTTTGCATCTTAGCGATGACTCCCTCCAGGTGAGATATTGAGACGGCATGCTCTCCTCGCAGTTGGAAGGTCTGAAGCTCAAAGTCGGACTTTAAGGAGGAAGAGCAGATAAAATGTCAGATACAGCTTCACAAACTTCAGTCATTTCCCTTCATATAACACAATAAAACCATACTAGGTGATTGGCAGTACATTTCCTTAAGTGAACTTGGGATTAAAGTGTATAATTATTCCTCCAAGGCGCAAACATGAACGTGATTATTGAATGTTGAAAATTTAACAATAATTTTTCATTTCAGCTTTGTTTTACACTTACTCCTATTAATTTTTCCCCCCAGTCTGAGGTTAATATCTGACTCTTACTTTGAAAATCTGCTAACTGCAGTTTTCAGTTGACATTTCAAACAATGAGAAACAATCCAACTGAAGCACAGTATTGATTTGAGACAGAAAGGAAATCGTTTTGCAATAAATCGTACACATGTTCCTTATTAACTCATGTCAGTTTAGAAATAGCATTAGGCACGTTCCCACCCTTTCTTGTGGGCTGACTCAGCATTAGTCCTTTAAAGTTCGACGTCAAATTAAAGGCTTTAAGTAGACAGGCTGAGAAACCAATTCTGAGGTCAGACTTTTCAAGGAAACGGTCCATAAAGCAATTTATCAGCGGTACAAATTATGTAACACAGCCAGAACTATGTTCCAATTGCTCTTCCAAGGTTATACAGTAAGTTTGCAGTCGAAAAACACCTGTGAGATGCCGTTCCAAACCTCTGCTTTTGATGAATTAAACACTGACACCTTTAAAAAGAATCTGGAACGAGCCATTATATTGGAGAGGAAAGAGATGTCCATCACAGAGCCGAGTGTGGAACATTTGGAAGTCATAAAATCATAGATAATACATAAAATATGAAATTCTGGAAAGTAGAAAGCTCTTTCAGAATTTATTTAATTGACACGGTACAGTTTTTGACTCTGTTTTGATTAACTTGAGTTTCACTTTTGGTATAAAAGTGCTAAAGGTCACATTAAGAGTCAGATCAGGACATTGCGCCATTATAAAAGGAAATATGATTTCGCTGGTTTACTTGCTCATACACTGGTATAATTTGATTATTCTTATTTTTTAAAACATACATTATTATATGTATCACTACAGCTGCATTTGGTAAAGTCAGATGGAATTTTTCTATACTATTTCTCTCAGCTCGTAAAAGTACAATTAGAAGAAAAATTAATTTTCAGCTTTTAAAATGAACTTGATTAACAGTTTGAATGCCAATTTACGTCACATCAAGAATACCTGGCAACATCAAAACCCGTGACATCTGAGAGCTTGGGGTGCTGTGAGGAATTGCTCAGCAGAGTTTGCACCAGATCAGCTGCTGCACATTTCATGCTCACTTAGCGCCATCTTGTGTCGAGGACAGTTAACAGCTATGACAGACTAGATATGCACAAGGGCCTCATGAACGTAAACTACTTTTCATCTATGCCTCATACACAGGAATTATTGCTTCACAAATCACATATGTTCATTTGTTTCTGTTTCATATTGTATGCCAGAATCTTCTCACTCCTCTGAGTCTGCCCTCACACAGATCCCTGGTCTCATTTTCCTCTAGTGCACAGTATTTTGTCAGTGTTTGCTTTGGTCATATGATAACTTACATGCATCCTCTCCAGCTCTTCTTTGCACTCTCTCTTCAGCTGCAAGAGGGCGGCCTGGTGCTCTGCGAGCAGGGAGAAGAGGTGACAGTGGCATGGGAGCACAAACTCATTCTGATGGCAGGTTTGATTGATTAAATATACACTGGAGTGTGTAGTTAATTCAACAATAACAGCTAATTGCCGGTGCTTTTGATTTATAAATTGAAAGAAATTGGGGTGAGTTATATTGTTTTGAGCTACTGGCTGGAATATTGGCATGTTAAATCACCATAAAGCTCATCTGTACGACAAGAAACATTACAACATGTACTGTTGTCCTGGTGAATTCTAAAGAAGGGCGGGTCGCCATATTTACCACTCAACCAACCAGTTTTAATTAGACTGCTGTCTGAAGGAAAAGCCTAGACAAAACATTAAGGTTTGGTTAAGACACAACTACACAAAGGCCTATCTGTTATTACTAGATGAACGAAGTGACAACACATTATTTACTTCACGTCTACGATGTCACAGTTACACAGACTACAATAGAAAGCAGGATAGCAGTCATTCTATTGATACTTTAATGGTTATGACCTACCAAATACACTACACCCATAAACTGTACCTATAATATACATCACAATGTCGTCACCTCCAGAAACATGTTGTTCAGCTGCTTTCAGTGTATTTGAGGGTTAGACTGTTGAGGTTTATTTCTAAATGCACAAGTCTTTATTTAATTCATTTACTATTATTTAAAATTGAGACTAAAAGAACCAGAAAACACACGAAGGAGATGGTCTTGTTCGCACGACCACTGACAAGCTTTCCACCCCACAACTTGTAGTAATGAGTAACACTGCACTGTGGTAATGATTAATCCAAGTCAATGATCAGTATAAGGCCGCCTTGAAAATCAACTAAAACAAACTATTCTTAATAGACATCATTATTTATTAATAAGCACCATGATAAAGGGTCATAAATGTGTTATAAAAATAAAAAAAATGTTTTAAAGACATGTATACAACATGGATGCACACGTGTGTTGGTTTATCTATGTGGCACACAGTCTGGACTTTTGCTCTGCTTCTCGAATTCCACACACTATTCTTTTAGACAAGAGCAAAGCCCGATCCTCGAGCGCAAATCACCAGAATAATCCACAGTTGCTGGTCATAATCTATTCTGACGGGATGAAGCCGCGCCACAGAGAACATCCAAACAGCTGTCGCACCGCTGTAGCAGCACAGTCTCACTGCACCTAGAGCATGAAGGGAAAGCTTTTTTGCTCTGTATCTGAATCGGTCCATAGGCAGCCATTTGTGCTTTTGACCTTTTTGTGTGTCCTTGCGCCTTTAGAGAACAAGACCGGCCAAAGTTAGTGTGGTGCCAACAAACAGTACAGACACAGCCTGGCTGTGTCCTTAAATGGGTTTAAAGGATGTCTAACACCCTGCTGCCAATACTTAGCCAGCTCTGCAAGATTTGTCTCAGAAGTTCAGCGTAATGTGCAAGTGCTCAAGACTCAATCAAGGACAAATACCCCATATGTGAGATCCATTCAAAAGATACTAAGATACTATCTGAGACTACCCTTTTCCACAAAGCCAATCAGTGAGGAGTGTGTCAGTGTAAGCTCAAATGGCATGATCCTCTGTCAGCATTCCTGGTCTTAGATATAAATATAGACAACAGTGTCTGAAGTAACAAGCCTGAGGTTCTTACCTGCCTCGGTGTACTTGAGCCCCACCTTCTCCCCTTCATCTTTAGGTTTGGGTGGGGGCCACACGGCCTGCAGCCGCCCTGGAGTCCGGTCCTCACTGTCTGTAGGGGACGTGACTTCTGTCTGTAGGAAGGAAATGGATGCAACAATATTGGCATATATGTGGGTAATGCAATGACTAATATTCTGATTTAGAGTGCCACTTTATCTCAAAATACAATGTTTTCCTCCTCTCAGTAGTAAATACAGGGCACTTGAATTTCCAAACATATGTGATTTAAAATGATTTAGGAGTGTCAGTACATACATTAGCCTCTGTGGGACTACTGATTTCCTTCAGAGGAGATTTGGAGGTTTTCTCAAAAATCGACCTCAGATTTTCCTTGTCATTCTTGATTTTCTTTTTCAGTGCCTCCATATCCACCTCTTCAGCTTTCTCCTTTTTGATGCTTTTGGGGCCAAAGATGCTCCTGAAGGTTTCATAGGCCAGATCTGAGGTTTTCTTTTTTTCAGGTGTGGCTGTAGGAGTTACTGGGTCTGGAGTTTTCTCTTCTCCAGCAACCTCATCTCTATTCTCAGACTCTTTTTTGCCGTGTTTGAGATCAGCATCCTGCCCATGACCTGACTGTTTGGTCTCACTGTGGCTGTCTTTGTTGAGCAGATGACTGAGCTGTCCCATTACAGTACTTTTAGTATCTGCAGCGGGTTTCGGCTCTGCGTGTTTTTTGGCTGGAGAGGGAGTCCTCTGCTCAGGCAAGAGCTTAGCTTTGTTCACTGTCTTCTTCAAACTGAGCAGGGCCAGGTCAGCATCCTTCTCCCTCTGCTTGATCTCCGATACCGTCTCCCTGTCTTCACCCACTGCTCCTTTCTTCAGCACCCTCAACCCACTGAAGAGAGCCGGCATCTGGAAGGAAGGGGACGAAGAGAGCGCCGCGGCCCTGGACGGGGATGAGGTAGAGGTATTCATTTCAGGTGTCTTTGGAGCAGTTGTGCGCTGTGAAGTAGGGCTGCCGCCTGGCTGAATGCCACCCAGGTGCTTTTCCGGTGCAGATGATGGTGACATGGGTGTCTTTGTAAAACCGGCAGTGTCTGATTGCTCCTCTGGACCAGAGGATGATTGGACTGACACTTCAGGAGTCTTAGGAGTGGAGGGAACAGGTGCCTCTTCCTTTTGTGTACTATCTACAGCTTCTGTCTGCTTGGATGGAGAGGCCGTGGCAGCATTATGACCTTCAGTCTCTGAAGCAGGATTCCCAGAGATGATAGAGGGAACAGGTTGAGAACAATCTATGCTGGCATACCCATCGCTTTCATTTGTTCCCAATTTTTTGCTCCTATCCTCTTCTGCAGTCAATGTTTCTGCACCTACAGACACTGTGGTGGTGCTGTCCTTGGGAGCGCGGCCATCTCCCGGTTTGGAAACTGAAGACAGAACTGTCCTAGAGCTAGTCCTGTTCAGAAACCTGTCTGAATTTAGAATAGCTTCTATGCGGGATTGCTCGCTAAATTTGTGTGTTCTGAACATAGGCAATTTGTACTCTGCTTCTGCCTCAGCGGCATCTTCTCCGCCGTGGTCCACTGTGTTATTGTCTTCCTTAGGTAAGACGGGCTCTCTGGTCTTGGCAAGCTTCTCTGATGTGCTGGTGCTGCTGTGGGAAGCCTCCTCATCTTCATTTTCTGTGTCACTGTGTGTTTCCACCTTGGTGACCTGGACCAGGTCTGTGTCAACTTGTGCTCCAGCTGCTCCTTCATCCACCCGCCCTTTTAGCTTGTACTTACTGTTAGTGGCTTGACCACCTTCAGGAAGAGGATTCTTGCGATGTGGCAGCTCCTTGAAAGACATCAGCACGGCCGACTCCAAGTCTGTAGAGGCAGATCTATCCCGGGTGAAGAAGCTGCTGAAGGCATTCAGTAAGGAACTAGCAGGCGGCTTCCCCTGTTCCTCTGAGTTATTACTTCCACTGTCCATTTTTGCTCAAAGTGTCACACCACCTGAGAGCAAAGAGAGGCAAACCACAACAGGTAGCAGCTCTAGCAAAGTGTCAGTTGAAAGTGTCATAAAAGGTCCGTCTCCCCATGTCCAGTTATCCAAGCAGCTCCTGTTCCACCTCTACCGTTGGCTGGGAACAAAGGGGCTTTGTATGGACAATTTTCCCCAGCTCCTCTTACCTTCTTTAGGAGGGTGCCAGTTATAACAACACTATCCTGTAATCTTGTTTAGTGACACACAAACAGGTTGCATATAGCAGCCTTTCGCTATATCACACAAACACTACTACTGACATGTTGACAGCAGTACAGTTCAGTCTCCTCTGTGTGAGCATGATTCCCATGACGCTGCAAGTCAAGTCAAGCTGCTCAGTGGCTGGAAGCATGTCCTGCTGTAATCTCCCTGGGAGAACCGGAGAACAGAGTTCACTTGCCGTTCACAAAAGCATTTCCAAACTTTCCGACAAGCTGAGCGGTATTATCCATGTAGTTGTGCGCTATCCTGTTCTATGTGGACTCCATGACTGAACGGTTCTCTTTAGTACGAGTCTGTCTCCTTTAGCATGTCTGTCTCACTTTACAGGAAAGCCCTGTGTGCTGTTGTGTGAGGAAAAAAAAAACTTCAGGTTGAAAAGGGAAAAAAAAGTGTCTCACTGGTCTACCCAGTCTGAGGACGCCTCCCTTCAGGTCCCTCCCTTCCTGGGAGGGAACCTGCAGAGCCCAGCACCACAGGTGTCTGATTACCTCTGCTCACTTCCGTAAAATGGCGGCCGAGTTAACAGGGTAAACACTGAGGAGAAGTGAGCACGTGGTCAGGTGGAGAGCTGCAGTGGTCCAGTAAACCAGCATTGCACCATTAAGCGGTGAGCTACTGCAATACAGGGCTTAGCAAGTGGTGATTAGGCAGTGTAGCTACAGCCAGCTCTGGCTAACAGGCTCAGTGGCTAACGCGTGATTAGCAGCTCATGAACTCTCAGTCAGAGCAGGACTGAGTTCAGTTAGAACAAAAAAAAATGACACTTTGATTCACTTACCTCAAACATGAATGTCAACTTTCTTTCTACACACTGAGCTGTGACAGTTTTGATTCAAACTGGAAGTTCAGTTGTGACACCACAGTTTCTAAGGAGGTTTAAAAAGTTTAGAAGCTAACAACAGTTGAGCTAACAACAGACAACACAATATGAGGGAAAGAGGAACACTTGAATAGTTTTTATGAGAAAATCAAAAAGCAGAGAGAAATCATTCCTGTGGTGTCTTTTTTAGCTGATTTAACCAGCTCTAACATTCAATTTATTTATGTATAAATGTTAGTAAAGTGGTTTGAAGCACATGGATTCTTCAAACTGTGGTTGCCCTTAACAACCAAAGGTCAAGCTTGTTGAATGCATTCCTTCAGACTGGCTCATTGAGCACAGCCTCAGCTGAAGCCACAAAGCACTCACTTATAAAAGAAGTGTGTTTTAAAGTGTGTAGTATAAATGTTTTTGTCCAGTTCTATGACCCAAATTAAACAAAAAATTGGGAAGAAAAAATGGGAGAAATGGATATTCTTCAAGCTGGAAACAGAAGAACAAATGAGCAAAAAGGGACTGCATGAATAATGGAAATATTGTTGTAAATGTATTCTCAAACAGGTATTTCTTTGTTACTGTTATAATAATAACCAATAAAAACCTAAAAGAAATATCACTTGTAACTGCATTTTCCTCTGATTTTCTTTTCATTCATCAGAAGAAAGCCACAAATAGAGAGGGGGATTCTGTGGCCGGGGAATTAAGTTATGTAAGTCCAGTCGTAATTCATACACACACAGTAAATCCCCTCAGAGGCTGTACAAGAAAGAGGCACCTCTGATGGACAAGGCTGTGATGTGAACTGATATCTGGCACATGTCAGCTCAGCAGTGACATGATTCATTTACAGTCAGAAAGTATTCAGACCCCTCCACTTTTTGTTACGTTGCAGCCTTTTTCTTACATCATTTAAATTAATTTTCCCCTCAATCTACACTCAACACTCCATAATGACAAAGAGAAAGCAGATTTTTTTTTTTTTTTTAATCCCATGGGGGGGAAGGAAATGTCTGAAAGCTCAGAGTCAGGATTGGTGTTGCGGCACAGATCTGAAAGAGAGAGATATGTCAACTTTCTTTCCTACACACTGAGCTGTGGAAGTTTTGATTCAAACTGGAAGTTCAGTTGTGACACCACAGTTTCTAAGGAGGTTTAAAAAGTTTAGAAGCAACAACTTTGAGCTAACAACAGACAACACAATATGAGGGAAAAGAGGAACACTTGAATAGTTTTTATGAGAAAATCAAAAAGCAGAGAGAAATCATTCCTGTGGTGTCTTTTTTAGCTGATTTAACCAGTCTAACATTCAATTTATTTATGTATAAATGTTAGTAAAGTGGTTGTGAAGCACATGGATTCTTCAAACTGTGGTTGCCCTTAACAACCAAAGGTCAGCTTGTTGAATGCATTCCTTCAGACTGGCTCATTGAGCACAGCCTCAGCTGAAGCACAAAGCACTCATTATAAAAGAAGTGTGTTTTAAAGTGTGTAGTATAAATGTTTTTTCCAGTTCTATGACCCAAAATTAAACAAAAAATTGGGAAGAAAAAATGGGAGAAATGGATATTCTTCAAGCTGGAAACAGAAGAACAAATGAGCAAAAAGGGACTGCATGAATAATGGAATATTGTTGTAAATGTATTCTCAAACAGGTATTTCTTTGTTACTGTTATAATAATACCAATAAAACCTAAAAGAAATATCACTTGTAACTGCATTTTCCTCTGATTTTCTTTTCATTCATCAGAAGAAAGCCACAAATAGAGAGGGGGATTCTGTGGCCGGGGAATTAAGTTATGTAAGTCCAGTCGTAATTCATACACACACAGTAAATCCCCTCAGAGGCTGTACAAGAAAGAGGCACCTCTGATTG